TCTAGAAATGCTGAAGATTATTTATCTGACTTCTAGTCAATGGTTATTCCTCTTAACCTTTGCTTTTTACTTCTTTCTGTTAAAGCTCTTGTTTTCTTGCTTTTGATTCTTTTTGGATATATTGGAAATATATGCATAACTTTTTCTATAGGTGGGTTGTCGGTTTTGTACACTGTTTTGAGTCAATGGTCTCTGTAAATTTGATGTACAGAGATGCGTTTAATAAAGAGGTGTTAATCTGGGCTCTGTCTGTGTGGTTCTGGGAGCAGGAGATGTGCCGGGACTGGTCGACATCTGTTCACGAGCTGAGAAGGCCCTGCTGTATGCTATAACCTGCCTGTGCCTCTAGATCTCTTTTAAACGTCTGACATGGGGTGGAGTGGTGGCTCTGTGGCTCAGGATCTGCGCCTGTGGGTGGGAGGTCGTATCCCATCGGCCAGCAGAGGAATCCTACTCCGTTGGGCCCCTGAGCAAGGCCCTTCACCCCAACTGCTCCAGGGGCGCAGTACAATGACTGACCCTGCGCTCTGACCCCCAGCTTCTCTCCCTGTCTGTGTGTCTCATGGAGAGCGAGCTGGGGTCTGTGAAAAGACACATTCCTAATGCTAAAAATTTAAAAGGGTTAATAAAGTGATGTTATTTATTTATTATTATTGTATTTACATGCCGTCAACACGGTCGCCCTGCAGGTGTCCCAGATGTGCCTCACGCTCCTCGCAGTGCTCGTCGACAGGCCCGGGTATCCTGCAGTGCGCGGACTGTCCGCCGGAGGGGGCTGCAGAGACATCACCAGGCCCCCCACACACACACACAAGGAACTGCACCAGCAGGGTTCATGATTCACTTATTCGTTCCTCGTTCCATTTCTGGCCATTATTGTAAGAGATGTAGAGAGATAATTGATAACACGCACGTCCTTCCTTTTAGAGAAGTGGTTTGTGTACAGACTGCTACAGGAGCATACGTGTGTATTAGGAAATGCGGTCGTATAGCGCTTTTCATAGCGAATGAGCTGACAGTGCTTCATATACAGGAGTGGACACGCCGCACCTCCACTGGCGTGCTACCCCCCGCGCGCTCAGCCCAGGGGCAGGAGAGAGGAGCTGCTGCACCGGGGGCCGGAGGGAGGCCAGGCGGTTCAAACCCTGAGGGGTTGACGCTCCTGCTATCCTGAACACAGCTGTAATCTTTAATGACGTTGATTCATTGAACTGCGGACGCGTGGGAGCAGTGCACCGACGACCCCCACTCGGGAATCTGGGCCTCGGTGACATTGAGCCCCACTCGGGACGCCTGGCACCAGTGCACCGATCCTCAGCGGGCCCCACGCAGGACTGAATTGCTCTTTGTTCTGGCACGGGACACGCGTGTCTGCGGCGGTTTCGGGAGCAGCCCCAGGGCTGCGGGCATCTGGGAATAACCGCTTCTCAACCGACCGCCGCGACGGCAGCCGAACACAGTGTGCTCCCGTGTTCGTCGATTTTTGGGGGGGCACACATATCCCAGGGGGGAGCCCCCAGTCCTACGCCCCGCCCTGTTTCATTGCCAGTAGGACCCCAGATCGATTATCGGGTTATAAAAAGTTTTTAAAACCGCGAGGCGGAAGTTATTTTGTTTTTGTTCGTTTGGAAAGCGCCTGAGGTCTTCTGCCGCCTCGCCGGAGCGCGGTCACCTGGGCTCGGTTCCGCTCGGTGCTGCTCGCCGTGAGCCGGCGGAAACAGGCCGGGGGTTCGGAACACAGCCGTCGCTTAGGGGCACTAGGGGCACTGCCCTCCCCACTAAAAAAAAAGAATTTTCTAGTAAAGTGGAAAAAATGTCTTCGTTTTTTTTTTTAGAAATATTGACAAATATTTATGTAACCCATCTGACATTTCAATCAGATTGCCTGTTCCTGTCATGACGAATGAAAAACCGTCGCTAGGCCCTGCGTCCAACCTGCGGGCGGGTTTGGAGCCGGAAAGTGTTCAATCTCATTGCGTTCATCAGAAAGCCGGGCTGACAGCCGTCTCAATAATGGATATAAGGAAATGGTTCAAGGGCCCCTCTTCAGTCTCCGTCCAAGGGGCTGTGTAGTGGGGAACAGACGAGGACACGCCAGCTCCAGCCGGCCTGGTGTCTCCGTTAGAGACGGAGCCGGCTGGACCAATCAAGACTCCCGGCCGGTCATCTGTGGAGCGCTGCCGCAACCCCCTGATGACCTAGGGATGGAAAAACACAACCAGGGCGCTCGACGTCCATACCCTGTCCGTCTGTGTCAGGGTGAGAGTCGCTCTGTTGTATCTCCGTGGTGCCCTGATCGAGACCGGCTCGATACAGCGTCTTACCCCTGCGGGAAGGGCAGCAGGGCCCGCGCCACTGACTCCGCTTGTACAGCTGGGGGTACCGTGGCTGGGAACACGCCAGACAAAGGGCGTCACAAGCACTCCGCTTCAGGAGAACATTCTGGAAGGAGCATGAGGCGCGCCTTGAACATGACCGGGACATTTCCGCTCTCCTTAACGCGGACCAGCTCAGACAAAATCGTTTCTGTGTGTCCGCTGAGTCACGTGTCTCAAACCCAAATGCCCACCCGTTCCAACTGTTCTGGCGCCGGGCCTGGTTCGGAACCGGGAGTGGACCCGCGTCTGCGATGGGTCGCTCTGTCAGAGGGATTCTCACCGCTGCTGTCGGACGTGCACGGCCCCGACCGAGCGAATCAACACCTTCTGATTGACCGGGGTGGCGATTTTAGGAACCCGGGCGAACTGAGGTCCTCCGTGGACGCAGCTGGGCTCCGTGGGCCCGAGCCGTTCGGTTTCATTTCCCCACAAGCTCTACAGCGAGCCGGGCTGACTGACCTCCAACACCACCAGCGGAGTACTGTAAGATACTCATGACCGTCTCGGGCAGTACGGCTACAGACGAATGATCCAGCTTCACGCAAATAAAAAAGGTTAGAAATGCCACAGAAGGCGACACAGTGGTCAGCACTGCTGCCTCGCAGCCCGGGGGCCCTGGGGTGCTGTCTGTGTGGAGTCTGTCTGTTCTCGTGTTCGCGTGCAGTTCCATCCCACAGTCCGAAGACACGCTGGTGATCTTACTGACTGACCCTGGTGTGCGTGTCTGTGTCTGTGCGTGTGTATCTGTGTGTCTGTGAGCGTGCGTGAGTGTGTGTATCCGTGTCTGTGCGGTTGTGTATCTGTGTGTGTCTGTGCGTGTGAATCTGTGCGTCTCTGTGCGTGTGTGTGAGTGTGTATCCATGTCTGTGCGGTTGTGTATCTGTGTCTCTGTGCGTGTGTGTGAGTGCGTGCGTGTATCTATGCGTCTCTGTGAGTGTGTGTATCCGTGTCTGTGCGGGTGTGTATCCGTGCGTGTGTATCTGTGACTGTGCGTGCGTGGATATCTGTGAGTGTCTGTATCTGTGTGTATCTGTGAGTGTGAGTGTCTGTTTGTGCGTGTCTATGTATCAGTGAGTGTGTGTATCAGTGCATGTGAGTGTCTGTGTTCGTGCGTGTGAGTGTGTGTATCAGTGAGTGTGTGTGTCTGTACTTGTTCTGCGATTAGCTAGCCCCCCAACCCGCGCTGCTTGCCGGGATAGGCTCCGACTCCCCCGCGACCCTGACCCTGCCCAGGAGGAAGCGGTTAGAAAATCGATGGATGGAAAAAAGCAAACAGAACAGTAAGAAACGCGTGCTTTGCGCCTCGGTGTCTTACTGTGGTGTTTGTTTGTTTTTTTCCATCCAGCGATTTTGCGCTGTGTGAGACGCTGTCTCGCGGTCAGTGCGTGCGATCCGGCCCGGCGCTCGCGGGGCTCCGTTTCCCCTCTGCGCCCGCCCTGCGCCGGTGGGATGGCGCTGGAAAAGGAATTGATCTCGGACCTGAGCTCAGGCGCGCGCCAGTGTAGTGGTCCTGCCCTCGGGCTCCTCGAGACTCAGGCTCGGGTGAAGCCCGTGGCGCCTGCCCGTGTCCCGGCTTCATAAACAAACACACCCGCGCCTGCTGGGCACGATACTGTTTGTCTAGAGAAAATAAGAGATCACTTTATTGGCCATATACAATTTCTTGCATTAGGAATTCAACTATTCCACAGACCCCAGCTTGCTCTCCATGAGACACACAGACACGGAGAGAAGTCAGAGCGTCAGAGCTCAGGGTCAGCCATTGTACAGCACAGATAACTCCGTAATAGAGCCCTTACATACCCGCGTTCTGGCGTTATTAGTTATTAGGAGTGACAAGTTATTAAAACAGTTAACGCTCGGTGAATCTTTTTAATTTTACAAAGGGCGTATACAAATTCTAAGTACAATGAAGTGAAGCAACAATAAACAGCACAACATTTCAACTTATAGGCTTCAAACTCGTACTCGCACAATAAATGAGAATAACAGCGATCGAGGTTTCTGTCGTTCTCCAGCGCCGTCCGAGCGCCGAGTCTGCGGGCACACACCGGACAACACCCGTAGATTTCCAACCACAGGCACGGCTCTGAAACCGCGTTTGAACTGGCACTAGTGTGCGAGCGTGTTTAATAATAATAATAATAATAATAATAATTCCAGAACACTTATATAGCGCTTTTCTGGACACCCCACTCAAAGCGCTTTACAGGTAATGGGGATCCCCTCCACCAGCACCAGTGTGCAGCCCCACCTGGATGATGCGCCAGTCCTCTCCCCACACACCAGCTCTCAGTGGGGAGGAGAGCAGAGTGATGAAGCCAGTTCAGAGATGGGGATTATTAGGGGGCCTTGTTTGTTAAGGGCCGGGGGGAGATTTGGCCAGGACGCCGGGGTATTAATTATAAATTATATATCATTATTATAATAAATTGTAATTATAATTACTTAGCCCGTGCGCACACTTACTTTGAACAAATCAGGACGTGTGTGGCACGCGGGCTGACGGACCTATCCTTGATCTCGTGAGCAGTAAAAGGTACGTTTCCCGTTAGCGGCTCCCTGGCTTGTCGTTCATTTTAACGGTCTTGTGAACTCGCATCGCCGCGCTGTTAAGACAATCAACGACAAAACGATCAGTTTTAGATGTGTTTACTTCAAAGTTCAACACAAGAACATATTTAAACAATCGAAATCCGACCAGAGTTGTAAAATGTCTCCATAACTCGTGGTTTACAGAGGCTGGTGCGATATATAGAGACAATCCAGTCTTTTTCTAGACGAAGCGACACGTCGCGGCGTGTGAGCGAGTCGTTCCCGCGGTCCTTCCTTTTGACTCCTTTTCTTCCTTCGTTCTCGGTCTTCCTGTCGTCGTCTTACCTGCGGAATGTACACGCGTGAACCTCGGCTTGTGTGGCTGAGCTGTGCCTGCAGAATTCCACGATGTCCACGCGTGTCAGCTCCGCTGTGGGCCGCACAGAGAATACACCACCTCCTCGTGCCGCTCTCCAGCGCGTGCCTGGAAGTGAGATTGATTTTAAATTCTGGCCGAACGAAGCTCCACCGGGCGCCCTAGTTGTACAGGCTTGTCTTTCTCAGAAGTCGTTGTGTTTCTACCCGTGACGCGGGCTGGAGGTGCCCACAGTTCTGAGCGCCCGTGGGCGGCAGGGTTCAGCAGAAATCAGACTTCTCGGCGATGACGGGCGATGCCCCGAGAGAGAATCAAAGCTCTTTACCCCCAATGTATTATAGATCCCTGTCATTAATCGATATTTTGCGATGGACGGATGTAAATGCTATTTTAAATAGGCTGCAGTGAGAAACGAGAACAACAGCGATAAACAGAGGTTTGGGCGGGTGTGTTTTTGAAAAACCCTTCGCGCTCGGGCCGACTTCTGCAATTCGCGCACTATCTCGAGCGCGGCGCGCGGTGCACACCCTGCCACCGGCTCGCTCGCTCGCTCGCTCGGGCTCAGGGCTTCAGCCCAGTGAAGTATCTCGGGCTCTCTGTACGGAGCCGGGCCGGGCCGTCCCGCGCGCGGCAGGCTCGGGAACGTGTGGATAAGGCTGTCTGCGCGCGCTGCCGTACCTGCCGGGCGGCCGCGGGCTCGCCGCCTCCTCGCGCCGCGGCGCAGGTCCCTCTCGAGGACGGGCCCGCGGGGAAACGCAGGACAGAGTAGCCGAAGTCCTCCAGCTCCGGCTCCGGCTCCGGCTCGCGGGAGGCGCGCGCCTGCTGGGGAGATTCGACAGGAGTTCTCGCTCCGCTTTCCGAGCGCAGCGCGGAGCACCCCCAGTCCCGTAGGCAAAACCAGTTAATTCATAAATAAATAGAAATATCTTACCGGAGGCCCGCGGTCTGCTTCAGTGTAGATATTATTGCCTGCAAAAGAGCACAGAGGTCCGTGTGTTTCTTCATGTCCCGGCCGCCGGACAGCGGTGCCAGAATCGAAGCTCTGAACACGCAGCAGCGGGTGCAGAAGTCAAGGCACCATTTTACCGGAGGAGAACATGTGTACTTTTGAAATATTTTCATCACATTTCACATTTAAGATTTAAGATCATTATTTTCTCATGTTTAATGAAGGAAGGGTCACGGCGGCAAATATAATAATAATAATAATAATAATAATAATAATAATAATAATAATAATAATAATTTATTGCTGTAGTAATTTATTTTATTATTAAATTTAATTGATTTGTTTCATATAATGAATTCATCAGCAAGATGTAAAGCTCTTTTCAGTAGATATTCAGTGTTTGATCTGTAACGCCAACAGATCGGCACCAGCGGCCTGTTCCAATGACCCGTGTGAGTTATCTTACGGAAACACTTCTGGATCATGAATCAAACTAGTGCACAGGAGCTCGTGGCTCGTCTATCCTCCTTACCGGTGTCCCGCCGGGCCCGGGAGCAGCAGAGCGCGGCCGCCGCCGCCAGCAGCACCAGCGCGGGCACGAGCGCCCAGGGCAGCGCCGCCACGAGCCGGGACCCACTCGCGCCTGCGGGAGGGAACCGACAGGACCGCCGTTAGACCGCTCACAAGAGCGAGCTCGGCCCGGGTATCCACGACCACGCAGCGCCGTGTTTTGCCTTAAGTTACAAGGAGGGGGAGAACATTCTGGTGTCCCACGAGGCCGCGGGTCGCGCGAAGTCTCACCTGAGACGGTCAGCCGCGTGCCGTTCCCCCACGCGCCCTCCAGCTGCACGGGGATCAGCGGGGTGATCTTGCACGCGTACACGCCGCTGTCATTCGGGCGCAGCGCGCGGAGCGTCAGCACCGCCACGGTGCCTTGGCCCGTGACGTTCTGGCGCGTGTACCGTTTCTCCGGGGGCGCCTCGCTGGCTGTGGGGTTCCGGTACCACTCCACCGACACCGTCTCCAAGCCGGTGCCGTTGAAGGAGCAGCTGATGGCGGCCTCGCCGCCTTCCTCCGCGCGCAGGGACTCGGGCCACTGGCGGACGCCGAGCAGCCGCTGTCCTGCGAGTCGAGAAAGAAGGAGCTCAAGGCGTCCTTATCGTCGCGAATAATGAGCACAGCAGCGAGCACGGGGGTCAGCGAGAACATGCGCTCAGGCTGAGCTTCGTGCCCAGCAGCCAAAGATCCTCACGTCAACAGCAACTTCAAAGTAACCCCAACTGCTCCAGGGGTGCTGTATAAACGGCTGACCCTGCGCTCTGACCCCCAGCTTCTCTCCCTGTCTGTGTGTCTCATGGAGAGCGAGCTGGGGTCTGCGAAAAGACCATTCCTAATGCAAGAAATTGTAAAGAGTTAGTAAAGTGAGGTTAAGTAGATTTTGTTAGGACCTGCTGGTAGATTTTTCACCCTTCGTGTTCACAAGCGAGAAGGAGCTGGGTGAAGGAGCCGAAGGGAGAACAGTGCGCCTGGAGAAGAGGAGAGAGAGGGAGAGAAACTCCCCAGCGCCCGGCGAGCTGCCGTCCTGTCCGGGTCCGATCGCTGAACCCCCCGGTCTCATCTACAGCTCATTCACGGTCTGAGCTGAGCCGTGTCGTTTAGCTCGCTGAATATCACCGCTCTGTGCCAAGAAGCGGTGTGTTTCCAGTCCAAATACGTCGCACAAATAGGTGTAAAAAAATGTTGTAATAAATTAGCCTGATGTAACTGTGTTATTGCTTTAATATTCTTTGAACAATCAAAAGTTTACGTCGACTAAAAGTCAAAATTAGTTCAAGAAGGGAGCTGCGTCAGCATGCGTAGGCTGCAAAGGAACAAGTAAAGGTTAATTCCTGCTGAAAAACACGAAGTTTCGGCTGTGGAGCCATTTTCGGGTGCCAGACCTAAAGAAGGCTCCACAGCCGAAACGTTGTTTCTTTCCTTCTCTTTTCTGCAGGGAATTAACCCAGAAGTCAAAAGTCCCCTTGAAAGCAGGTCGACTGACACATCCCTGCGGCGGGGCCGCGCGGGTGGTGGGAGCGACTCCCTACCTGAAGCGCGCGCCGCCTGTACGATCACCAGGAGCCGCAGGAGCGCCGCCATCCTCTCGCGCCGCCCGCACGCGCCCGCTGCCCGGCGAGGTGGGAACGTCTCGCGCCCGGCGAGGAACAGCAATGCGCCGCTTGAGCCGCGTTTTCCGTTGGTTTTTGTTTTACCTCGGAGTGTCAGTGCGCGACGCCCTGCTGACGAGCTCCTCTGTGGCGAGGAAGAGGAGGAGGAGTAGAGGAGGGAGGGACGGTGGAGCGCCCTCGCTTCTGCGAATCACTCAGCTTTCTTTCTCTCTCTCCGAAATTAATGAGCTGCGACTGACGCGCGCGGCTTCCGCTGTCCCGCCGGTAGCCTCGCGCTCAGAGCTCGGTCTCCGCCGGGTCTGCAGGTGCGGATTTCTGAAGACACGTCGCGCAAACAGCACCACGCTCCCACGGTTTATCAACAGACTCCAGCACTTCCGCGCCTGTTCTCGAAAGACCCGGACGAAGAAAGGTCCTGTTCTGGGTTTAGAACAATACACCTTGTTTCATATAGTGCCTTCAAAAGCAAACATCTCAAAACGCTCATTATTACGTGCTCATAAATATTGAGGCAGCTGGTGAATTGTCTCTACCACTGCCTTTTGCTGCGCGCACGCCGGAGGTCTTAATTGATTAATTGCTTCAGGCCTCGAGAACAGCCTCCCGCGGCCTCGCGACCGAGGTTCCCACGAGCTCTTCCTGCAGAGGAAGAGGGAGCGCAGTCCGCGCCTGCACGGGTGACACCGCCGGCCTTCTCGAGCCGGGCAGAGGAGCTCGTGGGCGGAGGTGTGAAGAGCCGCTCTGACACACGCGTGCGCACCACAGCGCACACGGTGGGCTCGCTCCGGCTGCACCACAGCGAGCAGCGCTGCAGACAGAGTGGGAGAGTGTACCCCCCATGGCACCTCTCTCAACTCCTCCCCCGGCTTTGTGTCTGCCGAGTCCGCTACAATCTTCCCACGACTGTGTGTGAAGTCTTTCTGCTGCCCTCGGTCTCCTTCATCTCCGCTTCACGTCACTCCGTCTCACAAGCCTCCTGTCTGCATGGCCGGCTGGCCTAGAACACCGCATCAAGGCGACACGGCCTCCGGGGAGTCCAGACAAACAGCCACACCCTTCAGGCCGGGCCCGCTCTGACCCGGGACGGCTTCACCAGTGACAGAACCAGGCGGAAGTCGAGCGTCCCTGTCTGATAAAGGGGCACCCCCCTGGAGTGAGGGTGGGGCACGCTGCTGTCCGTCCATCGCCTGCTCCGGGGCTGTTCTCGCTCTCCTCCCGCCGCAGGGCCGCTCACGCTGTTGTGAAATAACTCCTTCAGGCGCGGCGGGAGGCGGCGGCAGCCGGACTGTCCGGAAAGGGAATTTCTTGCCCCGTCTTGTGAGTGAGAGCGATAACAGTGTGGGCAATTCACAGACACGTGTCCGCCGTGCTCAAATCAAAACCGCGCGCGATTAAAAATAGCTGTCTCGCGGCGAGGGCTCGCAGGCGCGTGGGAGCTCCTGGTGCACTTCTGCAGGTTCTGACCGCCCCCCCCCCTGCAGGCTGCCCCCCCGGCCACACGCGCGGTGGAGGCGCGCGGGGACTGTGAGCGCCCTGGAGACGAAGACCCGGGGCTGCACGCGCGCACGCAGGCACGCACGCGTGGGCGGTGAACTCGGGTGATCTAGTGATCTATAAAAGATCATCCTCCCTTTCACCTGCTGAGCGCTGGAGAAGCACGGAAGAGTTAAATTCACCCCTTCCATTTTTTTTTTAGCTCGGTGTCTCGGGTGTCTGTGTCCACAGTGGGACCGATCGAGCACGGAGAGGACTTTATCACGGGGCTTCGTGGCGCCCGAGCCCCGTGGGTCCAGAATTTTCCTGATGCGGGTTTTAGAAATATAAGTGGAAGGCGTCACCGCGAGCCGGCAGCGCGGGTCGCACAGGCCGCTGGGTAATGCCCACTGTATCGATCGGGCCGTCCGCACGAGCCGGTCAGCAGATTCCCTCTCTCCCCGCCCCGCTGGGGCCACGAGACAGGAATGGGCAGGCGGGAGCCGCCCTGCTGCCAGTCTCCCTCCCTCCCTCCGCCCCCCTCTCGCCCAGCCCGAGGACGGATAGTATTCTCCTCCCGGGCTCATTAGGTCAGCTCTCGGCTTCCCGGCTGGAGATCAGGTCTCGCCGCCTCTCCGCCGGAGCGCAGCTGCCGTCTCCCCTCCCGCCTCCCGGAGAACCGAGCCGCCCCGAGCCGCCCCGAGCCGCCCCATGTCCGTGCCGGCGGCGAACTCGGGGGCGAAGAGCCCCCTGGACGCGGAGCAGGGCGCGGAGCGCGAGGCTCCCGAGGTGCACCCTCCCCGGAATTACCTCTTCCTGACCATCTTCACCTGCTTCTGCCCGGCGTACCCCGTCAACATCGTGGCGCTGGTCTTCTCCGTCATGGTAAGCAGGCAGGAGCGGGCGCGGGTCTCGGGCAG